AACAAAATATGTTTTGTGTTGCTAGAATTCGTATTACATATTCTATATATTGTATATTGCCCAACAAGTTGTCTTTTAACAATCACTAAGGGTAAATCTAAGTGTAGATTTTATATGAGAAGTACACACAAGACTGTTTAAGTGTCTATTAAACTATTTTTAGCGGCCGTTCCTTTGTTGATTTATTTTAAGTAAATAAACATGCAATATAAGTATTCGTATGTAACTCACATTATTCAAGGATTACCGCACACTTCAAACAAGATTACTATTCAGAATGTAATGTAGATATTTAAAGCTCTTTGAATTTGTCGAGTGGATGTGCGGTATACGAGCTGGCCGTCACCGTGCAGATTATGTCTGAGTCTGCGCAGACGCATTCCGCACTACACTAGCACCATCTCTGATTCACTCGCACCATTTCTGATTTTGCACGTTTATTTTTCGAGCCGCCACATTCCAACAACTCTGCATGTTGGTTAGTGAAATTAATTTATTCAAAACCAAAATATTTAAAATTATATTATACTAGCTTTTATGAGGTTATTTGAAATTAAATCATATAAAATACACGACCTAATATATTATTATTAAACCGATTAAAACTGAATAAAAAAGCAAAAAAATCTTTACGTTTAGTACATAGGGAAGCAAAAATCCATATAGATTATGTTTTTATTCTTTAAATCACAATGACATTAGATCACTTGTGGGAACTGAAAATGTTACAGGGCACACGAAGCATGTGTCACCTGACCTCCTACTTACAAAGTGTGTTTTGTTGCAATTTTATTTGTCCGTCGGGTAAATGCCTTTGCTTGTATCACAGTATTGAACTGGTCTGCATACCGAGCCTTCGGTACGGGAGGAACGGGGCAAAGGGGTAGGGGAACGGTAAAGCACGCTAACATAAGCCTTTTGAAAACGTTGACCTACGAATTTAAAATTGCTATTTTAGACGATGCATTTTAAATTGCTATTAAAGACTTACGTTAAAGTGTGACCGTATTAGAATATTATAAGAAACATTTTACTTAAGGATTGAAATAAGCTCACTCAGAATCCTCGTCCGGTAATGACGCATACGTTTTCAAGAGCAGAAGCCAACAATAAAACTATTTTAGTGGTGTTTTATTCCTATGTCTGTTGTGTGTATTGCCTACCATTCATCGTGGAAAACACTGATATTCAATCACGTGACTAAATCACTTCATGTGAGTCTAGTCAGTTGAATATTTTTCGCTGTTCTTCGCGACTTCGTCCACACGAAATTAAAAAACATAACTAGCCTATGAGTTCTTCCAGACTATGTTCTATGTCTATGCTAAATTTCATCAAGATCTATTGAGTCGTACTGGAGATACATTCTAAAGAACATCCATCCATTTAAACATTAGCATTTATAATATCGTAAAATGTAGAGAAGTATTTAAGAGAATTAATATTTTAGACTTTATTTTGAAGAATAAAAAGAACTAAAATAAAAAAAAAACATACCCGCAAATCCGAACCGCCTGATGAGGTAGAGTTGCTAGAACTACCAAGACGTTCATGAAACATGTTTCAATATTTTATTTAAACTAACTTAAAAATGCACTAGTAAATGTAAATGTTCCAATTGTCTTTCACTTTAGGCACCTCATGTTATCAATAAATACATTTTACGTGTCACAAACGTTCAATTATTTTGTTACTTAATCACTCCAGTCTACAAACATCATACATAAATTCAATAAGTAAAAATCAATAAGACAACGTGAATATAAGTCTTAAACGTTTTAAATACTTCATGTAACATTTGTAAATACAAAATAATTTAAAAACAACACATATGAAATCGTGAAAATGTAGTACGTGACTAAGAAAACTTAGTTATCAATAAATGCCAGAAACATAACAGAGTTATCGCATCGCATTGCCATTGGCAGTTACACTTCGCGGCATGTTTGTAATATAATTTGATAAAAGTCGCTATCACCTTGAATTTTGTATTTTGGTGATTTGCATTACAAATTTAAGCGTTTCTGTCCGATGTTAAGGATACGTACACCTTTGGAAACACAAAATTTAATTCTAACTTGAATGTCATATCATACAATTTTAAAAGAATTTTATTTAATAAACTTAAATCCAAATATTCATATCCAAAGTATTAAAACAATGTCTACGTCAAATAACTTAAAAGATGTCTATTTAGATATAACGATGAAATCATATCGATCACTTTTGATAAGAAGCTGATAAAATTTTCTTGGGCCCCGTGTTTATTAACTTCGGCTTAAGCAAAGTTAAATAAATTTAACATTCGAGTTATAATATCTTGAATGTTTGTATTCGCAAAAACAACATAGTTACTGTTAAAAGAATAAAAACAAAACAGACACCATCTGTAAAAACAAGTTTATTACATTCCGGACATCGTGTAAGCTATCCTTCAAACTCAACATATTCAGTGTTTAATAGTCCATTTCACGAATATATAATAATTAATATTAACATATTTGATTCGCATAAAATATATAAACTACAATTAAAATAAATCACTGTAATCCTAGAGGTGATAATCGAAAGAGCTTTTATATTGTGAATCAAAAAAAAGGATGTTTAGTGTATTATCGCGAATGCGGAGATTTCGCGTGCGCGTGGGCCAGGCGGCGCGCGCGTCGGCACTGCGCCTGCGCGTGCGCCGGACACTTAGCGCACCGCACGCCGCACGCCCTCGCCGCGCCGCCGCCGCCGCCGTGCATTGCACCTGACCACTCCACCAACATCCTACCACTGCTTTACGCAAAGCTTTATTTAGGACTCAAACATACAATATGTTAAGCTAATCAGTATTTATGCATATGTCCTGAAGAGCGCCTTGAAATTTAAAAAAATAACGCTTTGGCTCAACTTAGAATGACTATACAAGAAAATCAAACTTGTATAAGTGATTTTATAGTTTTATACTATTATAAAATAAATAAAGTTAGAATGAGGCAAATGGAGGAAACCTATGCGAACTCGCTCGCATTGGCTGATTACTTTATAGTTCGTTTTAATGAATTAAATTTTCTGTATGAGATGACGTCATCGCAGCAATCTGACCATTAACTATGAACTACGCGAAGACTTCCTTATTCCCATTCATAATGTTTACATTGATACGCACACGCGTCTGGCAAATAAAAGCTTACTTTGTAACGAGGGTAACAATAAGCTTATTATTGTCAATGCCTTCTTATCAACATATGTCTAAGTACATCACATTACGTCCAGTTTTCACTACCGAATAACTTACACAAAAACTGAGATAATTGCTTTATACGTGTGTTTCGACAGTGTAATGTTATCGTTGCAGTGAAAAATGTTTCAATTTAATTTTACTATTAATATTTGGTGGTTATTTGATTTTATAAGACAGTTCAAAAAGAACAAATCGGATTTATGCAACACAGGACATAATCTAATCTAATATTATTTATACAAAATAAGATAAAAGATGGTAGATATATGAACACGACTAACTTTCAGTTTGTGAGACCAAAATCCCCGTTTAAAACACATTATTACCTCCATTTTGTCAAATATGAAAGACACGGATGACGATATATTTTATATAGAGATTTTGGTGTCTGAAACCCATAGTAAGACCCGGAACTTATCAATGGGATTGAACATTTGACTTTGATTTACAACATTATTGTAATCACTGAACCTGGAAACCGTTGTTATCGTATAATAAAGCATCACTATCCCTTTGGTAACCGCATCAAACCATCTTATTGCATTCGTAATATTCAGTACACCTACACTTTGAGTTATAAATTTTACGAGAATTTTACGAGACGATTTACATTTATACGCAGATAAAGTTATATTGGTCTTTTAAAGTGATCTTCTTTCGGAAATCGACACAATCAAAACATTTTACGTAATACCGACGAGACATTACTTCCGACTGCACTATTGCGTTATAGAGATAAGTGCGTTGATAAAAAATAATATGAGGGCGCGACTTATAGCACTTTTGTATCAGGAAAACAAGCAGAACGGTTATTTTTATGATAGAACAACATTGTAAACGTTGTATACTGATTTATTATTTCTAAAAAGCGCCTATACTATTATTTAAGGCATGTAGCAATTTTCCATTAATTGATGGGTACCTACTAATGATGAAGTACTCATGCGTTACTTGACAACAAATATTTTAGCTTCAGACAAATCCCAGGAACCAAATTAGCTTTAAACTATTTTAGTTAAGTTTAATTTCATATCCCCCAGAGAGATAATAGCAACTTATGTCAAAAAATCTATCAGCTAAAGAGATTCAGTTTTGTACGTGTAAATGGAATATTAAGTCACGTTATAAAACTTCATCTTATAGTAGAAATATTATTTTTCGATATAAGAAATAGGAAATAGCTTATTCGAAACTAACTCGTGACGCTATTACCTTGCAACGAGTGTTGATTACTTTAGTAGGATTTTCGTTATCATTTCAACTACGAAAGAAACTGCGCTAATACAAAATAGATAAATAGTAACATGCTCTACAAATTTCTAAACTTTTGTATATTAATCTAAATTACGTAGACTTATTTAGAAATTAACAGTGATCCTATAAGGTTTCCGTTTTTTCCTATGAGGTACGGAACCCTAAAAATAGTAATGTTAACTGTTTTAATCCAAACATACGGATGTTTTTCTTTTCAATATTTGCTGATTTTAGCAATAAATTGATTTAAATCGTAAATATGTTTCTAACGCTAATAATATTACACATTTTAATAATATGTATAATCTTTAAAAATATTGAAATAACGGACATACAATCTAACGCCATCTAGTAGTGTGTTTATTAACTTCTATAATTCGTGAGTCATATTCCAGTTGCGCAAGCGGTTTCATGTTCGTAATTTACGATTAATTTACAAAGTTTGGTATAGACCATTAACAGATGGCGTTACATTATATGTAAATAATGTTTTTAAATATATACACCAAATATTTACCTTATTTTCACATGTTGTGTGGCAGACATATTTGCACACTGAAACAAATAAAATTGTTGTGTTAAATAAGATAAATTATTTCTTTTTTATCTTATTATTTTATGACAAATTTTAAAAATATTGCGTTTGTAAGTTTACAAAAATTTAACGATATCGGTATCAATATCCAAAGACAAATATTAAGTATAATTTTAAGTAACATTACTGGTCTATAGATAAGTACTTATAGATAGCGGAAGGCTTCGCAGTTCCTTAAAAACGGAAGGACATGCATAATATGCAATCACACTGCCACTTCTAGACATACATTTTTATTACGTTTGTTTTATGAGGCAGTTACAAATCGTGACATTCGTCAGCGACGACCTTTAATTCAAATGCCAGTCGAAACTGACGCGCCTGCAAGAACAGACATTTGCCAAGTTAAGAGCTGCCGGCAAACACGCATCAAAACTTGACATTATTGCAAATAACATTGCGACATCACTATGTATTCCTGACACAATGTAAACCAACAAATCTGAAACATCTCGACACACCTCTTTTGTTGCAATAACACCTCCTTCTTAGCCTCCTAATGTATTGTTAATTCAATAACAGCAAAGCGTTTTAGCATAGTAAATCATCAAGACTTGTGCACGATACACAACCTCAGGGCAGACAGATGACAAATGTCTACTAGTGAACTCAACGATAGACATAAATATTTAAATAAAAGTCCTTCATGGATATATTTCTTGTAATTATAAACACGTTTGAAAGTTATCTTACTAATATTTTAAATGGGAATGTTAAGATGGATGGATGTTTGTGTGAAGGTATCTCTTGAAAGGCTGCATGGATCTCGCTGAAATCTGGCATAAGTGTAGAACATAGTTTGGAATAACATATAGGCAAATAACACATTATTAAGTTTGTTTTTAATACAGCGCGGACGGAGTCGCGGGCGACGGTTAGTGTTAACAATAAAGGGACATATAGTAGAGTAATTAGGTTATTAATTATTCAATTAATTACCTCTACAGCAAGAGCCTTCGTTTTGCACTGGCTGATGGCACCAGTGGCACGGCCTGGGTTTACGGAATGACTTGCGACGAAACGCATGCTCTTGTGGTGTACCCTCCTTCTGCAACAAAACACATTCTCTTACATCCTATTCATCCAAATACATGTTATATTTGAGTTTGAACTACGTCCATATTACCATATTCCAACTGGCTTCATAAATCACTTCATTTAAAGTAACTAGTATTGTAGAATTCACTTTGCTTACAATGGTCACCTTCCGACATTAACTAAAGAAAGAATGTATGTTTTTGACGTGTAACAAACGACGGTCGGCAACTGCCCACCTCACTATAGTTACCTGCCCATCCCTTCGTTAGCCTGATTTCAATAGATGAGTGCCACGGTATTTTACAAACTAACGGATTTATATAATACAAGTTACAAACTTAAGATGAAGAATGTTAAAAATAAGCGTTAATTGTTGTAAGTAAATACATTTTTAGAAGGTACTTGTAAATATTTGAATTTGACTTTACCTTAATAGAATTACAATATCCTTTATTTGCTTTGATTGTTATTTTAGGATATTTGTTTGATTTTATCCTATGTATGATATTTGAATGTTCAACTAAAATATCTTATAAAGTTTAACATGTGGTTACTAATGAAATAAATAACGACACAGAGTTTATATAAGTACGCAACTTACATGTGTTTATTCAAGGTGAAATCCATGGAATTGTTTGAATATATGTAATTAGGCAAATTAATTTATTTATTAATTTTAGGCAATACATATGCAATTGCGTATGTCTATGGGCAACGGTTACTTCGCTACTTCAGCGATTTCAGGTGGCCGCTCGCTCGTTTGCCACCTCATGATATAAAAAAAAAATTAAAAAACATTACATATTTCAATGTATGTTTCAACATTTTACATAATTACAATAATTAATACAATTTGAAATAAATTATCGGTATTTATTTACCTGTCTATCTGTCTATCGCTTGAAAAAATTGACTAGAGGAATAAGATTACGTTTTGTTTAGTTTCAGAAATTAATTCTTGGTAATACTTTTATAACACAGAAAAGTAAGATGATAAGTTACATTGAATATTAATTAAGTTAGCAAGTCTTCGCAAGCTTTGCGGTAGGAGGTCTCGCTTTCATACAATAAAGTCCTAATTATAGAAATGTGACGTCAAATGATGCGCGAGCGCCGGCGCCAGTGAGAAGACGCAACATTTGCCACACACGTGATACTGACACACTACAATATATTGTTGTTGCTTAATTATTGCAAAGATATTAAAAATAATACACGAAGCATATTAAAACACCCTATATTTATATTCTAACACATGTACGCAAGTTACAGTGTACAAGTTCAAAATGTACAAAGAGTCTTTCTTGATAACTGTATTAGAAAATTCAAATTATTATTCACGACTGGAATAACATCGCATGATTTTAAACTTAACCAATGAAACTCACGCAAATTATTGACTACGATCAGAATCACTTTAATAACAAATTACTTTCAAAAAATCGTTTAGAATGTTCGGGACAAACGGCACTATATCAAATCCTATCACGCACGAATATACTAGCGGGTGTCGACATCCGACACGCACGTGCGCTTCCTCCTAACACCTGCCTGGTGCGCGAAATTCCGACATCTGTCTTATTCAGACTTTTTCTACCAAAAACATTCATTCCCGGTATAACAAGGTTCCAACTTTATTTCCCGAGCGTTACTCGAGCGTATGTCTTAGTAGGTGTACAGGCCAGGTGGAAAATACGCTCAGGTACGCCCTGCATCTCTTTACGAGGGATATTGCGAGCTGCCATAAAGTTTGTATGGCTTTATATGTAACAGAGCAGATTGACACCGTTTGTACACACGCTCCATTAACTGAGTAATCGGGTTTCAGCGAACAGCTGTACAGGAGGCAACTATGCAACAAAGAGCCAACTGTTCAGACAGATACGAATTACATGTTTACTATATAAAATTGGAAAGCTATTGTAAGTACACATTGTTGGCCTTATTGATAAATTGTTCGACTGTATCAAGTCGTTTAATTTAAACAGGATTTTAAATTCGAATCCTATGCTTAATTTGTATATTTAAACGTTAAGTATCTATAACTGTATATAACATTTAAGAATGAAAAATCGCATGTTAAGTTTTAATTAGATCATTTCTCTAGAGTTGGACTCACTTTTATTTTATTATTATGTATAATAATATCTCGTATCCGCTCACTTGTCAAGCTATTAGTGTTTAATGTATGACCGTTGTGTAAAAAATCGGGCAAACAATGGAACTAGTTATCTTTATTCCTAGAAACGCATTCTCAGAGCGATTCTTAGAGCATCCCTTTGAAAAAATATTCAGTGGAGGAGAAGGATACGCGGACACATCGCCGCGGGTTATTTGATCTCACCGGACATAAAGTTTTTTAATACGAGTAATAAAACTTAATATGACTTACTTTTCATCTTTTAATGGCGATAATTAACTGAAATCTTATAAACCTTTTTTTCTTAAATTTAGTTATTTTCATTACAAAAATGATATTTGATATGAGTATTTATTTATCTCTATTTTATATCTCCCAAAAATGCGGAACTTTTAATGCAAGTGAGATGCGATGAAATGCATGAGATTAGAACAAAGCGCACGATGTGGCACAAGATAAATCAACCGACGCGGCTCCGGCTTTTGATATTGCCTTTGCCCTCACTTGTTTCCGAATCACGCACACGACTGACCTATTAAATACACAACAACAAATTTCAATTCAAAAATTACAAAAGTAGATAAGTAAAGAATGTGTTTTGATTATAAAGCATTCTATTAAAAAAACTGATTATTGCTTCAGTAACCTTTAGTAAGCCTTTTATTTATCTTCCCATTAAACGGCCAAATAAGTGACAAACATAAAAACAATTAAATGATCATAACATTTGCTACACTTTGCTATGAACGAGTTTACATTTTCGCGTTTCATTGCTGTACTAAAACTTCTTACTTGAACTAATGCATTTTAGCTTTTAGCTGGCGCAACATCAGCGAAGCAGTTCAAATATTATTCCCTAGAGATATCGAGGGGAAGGGATCGTGTATTGTTTGAGACTTTATTGTTTTCATCACGCAAATGTCTCTAGAGAGGGCAAATCCTCAATTAGAATATTGTAGTTATTTGTGGTAACTGGTAACATTTACATTATTAATTAATAAATGTTTGGATTGTCGTGATCAAACTTTTCCTCCATTTTTAACCGACTTCAAAAAGGAGGAGGTTCTCTATTCGTCTGTATGTTTTTTTTTTATATACAAGTCTAGAATAATTTATAATGAAATCTACAAGTATCGAAGATCATAAATATTGCTTATGATCTTAATTCGTCTCTTGAAATTACTTATCATACTAATATTATATATGAGATTGTTTGGATGGATGAATGTTTGTTTGAAGGTATCACTAGAAAGGCTGAACGGATCTCGGTGAAATTTGGCATACATATAAAACATGGTCTGGAAGAATACTTAGGCTGCTAATTATGTTTTTGTTAATAATTTCGAGTTGACTAGAGTCGCGGGACAGTTAGTAGCTTTAATAAAATGTACTAAAAATAAAGTATACGTGAGAAGAGTCTTCTTTTAGTAACTCTAGATAAGCTGATTTCAAATGAAAGTCGACTTATTACACCTAACGAATAAATAACATACTCAAACTATTTAAACAATACAATGATAAGCAATGTTTGTAAACAGGTGGCCCAATTTATTATCACCGTAGACAATAGTCTGTAATTAAAATACTTTCCTTATTTGGTGTTGAGTATTAAATATATAAGTGCGTCGGTGGCTCAGGGGTCAAGCACTTGACTTGCAATCTGCATGTCCTGGGTTCGAATCCCGTCATGTACCGATGTGTTTTCAGATTTTCCGATTTACATATGTACATTTATCCGACGTTCTTACGGTGAAGGAAACAACATCGTGAAGCAACCTACATATATCTGAGAAGGAATTCAAAGATATGTGTGAAGTCAACCAACTGGCATAGGGCCACCGTGGTTGACTATGGCCTAATCACCCTTAACTTAGCGTAGAGTCTATCGGTGGGGATGAATTGTGAGCTGATGATGATGATGATTCAATATACAACACAGTAAAGTGTCAGAGGTATGTCACCCACAAATTTCTCAAATTTAATACCAAACCATATGAATTTAAAAGCAAATAAAATATATTTACAGATTATATATACATTTAAATGTACATATGTGTATGACAATAGAATCTATTAACTACATTGGAAGGCAAATAGAAATATTTTCACGCATCGCTGCGCGAACACGCTACCAATATTTGTTACTAAATTTGTTTCCTAGTAATACGTTTAACACATTCCCTGGACGTGGGCAACATGCATTATTGTGAGCGATGCGGCAACTTGCCACACTCGTCGGGCCGATACATTCCGGAACCAAAACCTTACTAATACTTAAGCTCTATCGTTTCTCTTTACTTTCTAAAGGACACTATCCTTGATGCATTTGATAATCTCAGTTAGTTCGCTATTTATTTTTGAGATGATCGTCTGACTATACATCTAACCTCTACTATACCCAAAATCGGGGAATTAAAAAAAACATAATTAGTAGACTATGTATTCTTCTAGACTGTGTTCTACATCTGTGTCAAATTTAATTGAGATCAGTTCAGCAGTTCTGGAGATACCTTCAAACAAACATATTATACATCCAAACATTCGCATTTATAATATTAAGTCAGAGTAAGATTGTCTACATGTATGGGTTTAATATAAGGAACTTGCATATAGACACAACTTATACAAAAATTGAAAAAAATATACTCGCTACGTTAGATAGACGAAAAGTTACAATAATATATTTAAAATTCAAATCGGACACGGTCTGAGAAAACTAATACATTTAATGAATAATCCATCAAACGTTTACAGAACTTATACAATATTCGACGTAATACCTAGATGTCATTCAATCTCAATAAAGTATCAAGACATATGAAGCGCAATCGACTGAGAACTAAGATGGAATGTCTTCATTAGTATGAGCA